AAAAAAGGCGAGGCTCACCAGCCCATCTCTCTCTCTGCCCTTCAGTCAATCCCAATTGTGTCCATCAGCCAGGCTGGTACAATAAACCATCTCAGAGCTCTAAAACAGGCAAGTGTGCAATGCAAACCTATAAGATGAGGAGGTCGTCTATTGTAGGACTGTGCTCTCCTCTAGAGTAAGGCCAGCCAGGTTCTGGCTTAGGGCTTGTCCAAACAGATGACATTTGCAACACAGGTGATGAAAGTGAGTGTGACTGCCCCTGTTAAAATTTCCACTCAAAACATAAGGAAACTGGCTCTGAGGGTCCAGTGGCATGCAGAAAAAGGTGTCCTTCAATTCCTGGGTGCTGACCACTGTGTGGTGCTAGGAACTTCCCCTAGGAGTGTTCAGAGGATAGATACTCCTGGGTGTACTGGGATCACCGCTTTATTTATTATCTTAAGGTTTTGAACCAGCCAGTAAGACCCATCTTTCTTTTTGACTGATAGTGTTGGGGGGTTACGTGGGAAATTAACAAGGACCAAAAGTCCATGTTGGATGAATTTATTAATAAGGGGTTATAATCCTTTGATGGCTTCAGGTTTCAAAGGGTATTGCCACTGCGTGAATTCTTTCAGGAAAATCTTTACAGGGGTTGCATATTTAACTCTGCCAGGGACTCCTGTGCCCTTGACTTCATGGCTTATGGCATTTTCCCACTGTTCCGGTGTGGGGTTTAGCAGCTCTCTGAGGTAACTTTCTTTCCCAGCAAAACCCAACTCCTGCCATTGAGACATTGGAACAGATGTCATGATAGAGGCAACCCTGGGCTCGGTGCTCAGGATGGGCAGAAAATCCCCAGTGGCAGCCTGGGAGAGCTCAGGGCAACCTCTAGGAGCAAGGGAGAAAGGGTCCATCACACACTGAGCAAGGAGGCTCCATCAGGGCACAGAGGCAGGAAGACTGCTGTCAGCAGGACGCCCTGGTCAGGAGGAACTTTCCCATTTAAGGCAGCAGTATTTGGCTCAAGGCAGCCTCCCTGCAGAATCGAGGCACAGTGTGCACACGCCTGGTCCTATGGAGGTAAGGAGGGAGGGAGGGGACCTGCTTTCCGGAGCACATTCTGGGGAGGCCATTCCAGAGATGGCTGTATGAAGAGGGGTGAAAAACAGAGGGAAGCAAGGGGTAGGGAGTAGGTCCGAGGAGTGCAGGGAAACCTCTATACAGAGCAAAGAGACAGGGGAATGAGCAGGGAAAGTCATTTTCCCAGAGGACAAAAGCTGCAACCTCCCGAAGACAGGCACTGTCAGGGGGGAGCTGAGGACACCAGGGGCTGACTGTCCCTGGAAGGTTGGCAGTGGTTCCCACTGCCTTGTTATTGCTGTTAGTCAGCGTGGAGTGGACTCTGATTTGTGGCAGCCCCATGGATGGGATGTATTCATGCGCCCCATAGGGCGTTCACGAGTGCGACCTTGCAGAAACAGAGTGCCAGGCCCGCCTTCTGAGGTGCCCCTGGCTGAGTTCAACCTGCCAACCTTTGGGCTCCTAGTTGGGGGTATACCCCACCCAGCGACTACTCACTGACCTTAAGTTGGCAGCCTGGTCTGAGCAAGTGGCGCACAGCGGGCGTCCTTCCAGCCTTCCCTCGTCAAGCTTCAGCATTTCCATTTTTCCAAGCTCCCCTTCTGACTATATCTGAGAAAAGTGGAAGGAACAAGGGATAAGCGTGCCGGGGACAGCCAGGTGCCTGAGCCCCCGCACCTCTGGTTCTCACCTTCCTGCCTCAGGGAGCACTGTCTCCTATCCTACCTCTCTCTGGCTCCCACATCTCACCTCATGGAGAGAGTGGCTCAGTGTCCAGACATCGGGGGCCTGCTGTCATACATCAGAGAGGCCACCTAGCGGGCCCAGTCTACTGCTGCCACACGTCAATGACAATGGCTTTGAGGAAGAAGAAATAGAGCAACAGGTACTAGGTCAGAGTAACATTGGGAAAAGGCTATTAATTTCATTAGGAAAACAATGTCCTTCAGGGGAAGATTTTAAAATGAACCATTTATCAGGTTCAACAATTCCTTAGACACCTAAGCCAGGCGCCTAAGTAGGTCCAGAGCCCCCCCACCCCCATCATGGGGATTCCGAACCTGACAATCTCAGGCAAGTGTTTGTGTTGGGACATTGACAGGGAAGAGTATAAGTGATACAAAGCCACAGGAGGACGGACGGACTGACACACTGAAGACAGCACACACTATTCACTTACTCAACTTTTCCACCTCAGTCGGGTCCTTGTCCCCATCTCGTGTTGTAGCTGCCTGAATGAAAGGCCATCACAGGTATATGTAACGCAGTGAGTGCCAGTCACCCAGACTTCCTGGGCTCCCCCTCAGACTAAACCATACAGTGAGCTGATCCACCCACATGGAAGTGGCGGTGAGCACCCTTTATGACATCATGTGTGTGCACCTGGCTTCTCAGCGTCTGGCCTGGCCATGAGCGCAGCTAGTGGTTGGTGTGCTCAGGGGCAGGGAATGTGTTCAGTCTATCCAGAGGTGCCTACCAAGACAGACCCAGCAGTCTACTCCTGAAAACGCACCAATAAAAGCTACTCTGACACATGAGTTGGATTTGACACGAGAATAAGTGATTTTTAAACAGTATTTGGTAAATCAATCTAGGAGTCTAGATTAGGGCTCACCAGCATAACTGCTTTTAAGATTGCATCTGCTTTATGCTTTTCTGAATATACTGATTCCAGACAGAGTTGGGGTGTAGAACTCTTTCATAACTTGCTGCATAAAACTAGCATGGATTGAACCTTTCTTTTCCAAAATAAATACCTTTTCATTACTGGACACTTGGAGCAAAGTGTCTCTCTGTTAACTGAAGCTACAACTACAGCTTTGGTGATCTCAGAGAGGCTTTGCAAATTATGGTGGCAGAAGTGAGGCACAAACTTTCCCTGAATCCAGCAGACACCCAGTGTGTGGGAAGAATGTTCCAGACATACAGGCTTGCCTGTGATTACTCAGCCTTGTGAAAGACAGGAAGCACCAGCCTGGTCTCAGAGGAACGGAGACCCTGTGTGTTGCTTGTGCCCGTGTTTGTTTGTGGTATGTGGAATGCATTATTGCACACAAATGATTTCCACAATGCACTGTTTTGTGTATTGTGTTTTACATTTGGCATGTTTTCGCTATTTCTAATGTGCCTCTTAATGCTGTTTCTTTTACTGTCTTGGTGTTCTGCATATAGTTTGAAATGAGGCTTATTAATTGAATAATAGGGTTGTCACTGTAAAAATAATGGAGTAATCCCCTGGAGGACACAGAAGTGCTTGGGTTGACCAGGGTCACAGAGCATCACCAGTGGTGAAGGCTGTAACTTGAGCTACAGGGTAGTCCAACAAATGTGACCCTGCTCTCACCTTACAGTTGATGCACATGAGTATCTTCAAATGTGACAGTAATTTCCCCCCGTGGATATTTTATAATATCCACATTGCCGTGATCTTCTTGTGAAAGCCCATTTTCCTAGAGTGAGATTAACCATTCAAGTGTCAAGCTTACCCTTTGATGCAGATATTTCTCTTTATGAATTTATTGTGGAAGATATTCTCTGCTTGAGTGTTTCATTTTATGTCTGTGCTTTACAGAGTTTGGGGAAAATAAAGATGATGAGAGTGTAGTGACTGACATTGTCAGGGAAAGGGTAGACATGATTGTCCTTGGACTCAGAGATAGGTGGTAAAAAATAGATGTGAATATCTGAAAAAGAGGGCAATTGATGCATTGTCAGAAAGATAAGGAGAGGCACTGGGACTAGAATGAAACCCATATGCAGAATGTTCCTGCAGATCTGAATATATCCTGGAGTTAAACCCACCTCTCATTTAGATGACTGCTTGTTTTAAAACAAGGCTTTAGGATCCCAAAATGCTATTCTTCCTGCAGCCAAACATCATCTTCTTTCTTCACCACTCTTTGATACAGCACTTTAAGTGCGAGTATCAAGTAAGGCAATGTCATAAAAATGAAGTGTTCTTATGTTAAACCTATGATTAGGAGTGAACTCATAATCTATGCAGATATATATGTTTTGTTTTTTAAAAAATCATTTTATTGGGGGCTCGTATAACTCTTCACAATCCATACATACACCCATTGTCTCAAGTACATTTGTAAATGTGTTGTCATCATCATTTTCAAAACATTTTCTTTCTACTTGAGTCCTTGGTATCAGCTCATTTTCCCCCTCCTTTCCCCTCCCTCCCTACCTCCCTCACGAACTCTTGATAACTTATAAATCATTATTATTTTTTCACATCTTTCACTGACTGATGTCTCCCTTCACCCACTTTACTGTTTTCAGTCACCCAGGGAGGGGGTTAAATGTAGATCATTGTGATCGGTTCCCCCTTTCTCCCCCCACCTTTCCCTTACTCTCCTGGTATCACTACTTTCATTATTGGTCCTGAGGGCTTTACCTATCCTGAATTCCCAGTGTTCCCAGCTCTCATCTTTACCAGTGTACATCCTCTGGTCTAGCTGGATTTGTAGGATTGGGATCATGCTGGGGGGGGGGTGGCAATAAAGAACAAGGGGAAAGTTGTATGTTTCATCGTTGCTGTACTTCACAATGACTGGCTCATCTCTTCCTTGTAACCTTTTTGTGAAGGGATGTCAATTGTCTACAGATGGGCTTTGGGTCTCCACTCTGCACTCCCCCCTCATTCACATTGATATTATTTTTTGTTCTGGGTCTTTGATGCCTAATACCCGATCCTATCGACACCTCACGATCACACAGGCTGGTGTGCTTCTTCCATGTGAGATTTGTTGTTTCTCAGCTAGATGGCTGCTTGTTTATCTTCAAGCCTTTAAGACCTCAGACGCTATATCTTTTGAAGGCACCATCAGCTTTCTTCACCTCATTTGCTTATGCACACATTTGTCTTCAGTGATGCTGGGAAGGTGAGCATCATGGAATGCCAGGTTAATAAAACAAAGTGTTCTTGTGTTGAAGGAGTATTTGAATAAAGGTCCAATGTCAATCTATTACCTTGATACAAAACCTATAAATATATGTACATAGATCTATTCCCCCATCACCATATATAAATATATTTACATATGTACATGCCTGTATTTGGACCTCTATCAATGCCCTTTTCTTCCTAGTGCTTTCCTCTAGTTTCTTTTACTTTCCTCTTGTCTCACGATCATGCTCAGCCTTCATTTGAGTTTCAGTAATTCCTCTCGGTTACATTGTCCTTGATCAAGCCCTGCCAAGTCTGCTATACCCTCCTCGCCATTGATTTTAGATCATTTGTTGTTCCCTTGTCCCTGGGTTTATTAACACGCACTCTCTTTCCCCTGCCTCCCTCTTTCCCATGTCCACCCCCAAACCATCAGTCCCATTTTTTTCTCCTCCAGATTGTTTATCCCGCCTATCTTGTCTAGATAAACACGCACAGATAATAATATGCACAAAAACAAGACAGAGCAAAACAAAAGAAAAGAAAACAACAAAACCAAGGACAATAAAAAAGAGAGAACATCCTATAAATAGTTCAAGGTCTGTTTGTTGACCTTTAGGAGTGTTTTCTGGTCGAGTCTGATAGGGTGCCACGTCCTAGCCCCAAAGTCTATTTTTCGTATTCCCTTGAGACTTCATTGCTCTGCTCCCCTTGCTGTTCTGTTACACGTCCCTAATGTTTTGCCTCGGTGTGGTGGGGTCAGATCGGGCACAGCTCCTCTACTGTGTCTCCAGTGTTGTCCCCTGTAGCACTATGGGTCAGTGAGGAATGTGGTGTTTTGTGGTGAGGCCAGCCCTATGATCCTCTCTATGCATTGGCTGCTCTGAACAGGGATATCATCCTCAAGGCTTGGTGGGCCAGGATGTGCTCCATTTTCTCTCCCTCCCCCTTCATTTGCTCCTGTGTGCTCTTATCAGACATGTCCCCATTTATGTAGGTCCTTGTTAGTTTCTTGAAGTAATCTTCTGTAGTTTTCTATGTATATGTCTTTTGTTTCTTTCATTAGATTTATTCCTATGTATTTCATCTTCTGTGTGATTATTATAAATACTATAATTTTCTTCATGCCTTTTTTGTAGCTGTCTTCAGTCATATACAAGATTGCTTTCTGATTGTTGAGTTTCTATCTTGCTACCTTGCCGAATCCCTCAGTTGTTTCTAGTTGGGTTTTTGTGGAGACTTTCATTTGTCTCTATATAGGATCATATTGCCTGCAAATAGTGAGAGTTTTACTTCTTCTTTGTCTATCTGTATTCCCTAGATTTCTTTTCAGTGTCTAATTGCTCTCCTTAATATATCGAGAAAGATGTTGAATAAGAGTTGTGAAAGGGGACATCCTTGTCTGGTCCCCACTTTCAGTGGAATTGTTTTTTTTCCCATTGAGAGTGATGTAGACTGTTGTTTTTTTGTTTGTTTGTTTTCATTAGAATATCTAAATTAATATTTTATTTATATTCTGCTAGTCTTTTATTCTGTATTATATTACTTAATTTACTTATTTATAATTTTTAATCATTTTATTATGGGCTCACACAACTCTTATCACAATCCATACATACATCAATTGTGTAAAGCACATTTGTACATTCTTGCCCTCATCATTCTCAAAACATTTCCT